ACCATTTGTCTTCCCTGGAAGGAAAGAATCCTGCAGGCAGGGGCTTTTGTCTATGTAGTTCACGGATACATCTTCATATCTAGGACATGGCAGGCACTCGCTAAATATACCCTGATTAAGTGAATGAATGTAGGTGCAGGCAATACTTGCCAAATACTCTCTGTGTACTCAAAGGGGAAGAGAGAGTATAGTTCCAATCACAGTTATTTCATATCAGCTATGTGACCCTGTTTAACATTTCTGAGCTCTAGTTTTCTCATCTTTATAAGTCAGGACAACAGCATTTACATTAAAGGATAGTTTTGAGGATTAACTGAATATCAGTAAATAAATAATGGAGGATACAAATCTCTTTGTAAATCCACATACGTCCAACAGTTAATATACATCAATTATGTGTGTATGTATTGCTATGTGTATTCAATGTGGTAAGTACTCACATTCATTTTAGATGCATTATAATTTAGTGGTTAAGTAAATGGCTCCTAAAGTCATTCTGCCTGGTTACATACTTACCAGTTGTGCAGCCTTGAGCAAGCTACTTAATGTCTCTGTGCCTTAGTTTTCTCATCTGTAAAATGGAGATACAGTACTTCTTCAAAGAATTTCTGAGAGGATTATTGAGCTAATCCATGTTAATATCTAGAATAGTGTCTGGCACCTACTGAATGCTCAATAGATGTTAATTACTACAGTCATGCTCTGCATAATGACATTATGGTCAACCATGCACCACATATATTTGGACGCATAAGATTATAATGAAGCTACATTTCCTGTAAGAAATAAAAGGATATGTGGTTTAAGAGGAATTTTTTTTCTCTGACAGGCTCAGTGTTGGTGGGGCTGGGCAGTAGGTTCCCTGTCACTCACAGTATCTCAGTTTTGAGTACACAGATGACATCTTAACCAATAGCCACCGACCTGTTTCAGCACAGAGAAGCCTGACCCACCAGGGCTACATGTTCAGGGGGCCCAAGATCTAACTTCAGTCTTCCAAGATCTAACCTAATGCTCTTCAGTGTACGTTGCTGCAAATTCTTTGCTGAGGACCTAAGACCCTGTACAAGGACACAGGTCCCCAGGAGCTACCGTTGCCACTTGAGGAAAAGCTTTCTGTGGTAGTGTAGAGCCAGCCCGTCCTGTCCTGTGGAAATTTTTTCAGGTTCTAATGAGGTGAAGCATAGCTAAGTTTCCTTTCTTCCATCAATTCAATGCCATAGAGAGCCTTTTGTGCCTGATAGGGTCAATGGAGCCAAAATCAAATGTCCAAAGTCTTAATATCAAGTCCTCAGTTCTTCACCCTCTCCATGTTAAACACCCTCTTTTTCTTATGAATACCACAAATTTCTTTAATCTGACCACTGCTCCAGCATGCAACAGCCCAGACTACATTGCCATGATAATCTCCTATATTGATTTTTCCATCTTGACTTCTTATTCCTACTGATCCTCAGGCCACCTTTAACTCCCTCCTGACAGTCACTATTATGGTGATCTACACCTTACGCAGCCAGTTTCTCTTCAATATTTCCAATCAATCCAGCCCACATCCCTGTTCGTGGAGCAGGAGTGACAGCTTCAATGTTCCATTTCTGACCCTGTCAGAAGGAAGCAAGGGGAGGGCTTGTGGGACAGTGTTTATAAAGTGTACAGTAGTGTGCAGTAATGTCCTAGGCCTTCACATTCACTCACCACTCAGTCACTCACCGAGAACAACTTCCAGCCCTGCAAACTCCATTCATGGTAAGTGCCCTATACAGGTGAACTGTTTAAAAAAAATTTATGCTGTATTTTTATTATAGCTTTTTAATGCTTAGATATGTTTAGATACACAAATACCACTATATTATAATTGCCTACAGTATTTAGTACAGAAACCTATTGTATAGGTTTATAATCTAGGAGCAACAAACTATATCATATAGCCTAGGTGTGTATCATCTAGGTTTGTGTAAGTGCACTCTGTGTTTACACAATGATGAAATCGCCTAACAACACATTTCTCAGAACATATCTCCATCATTAAACAATGCATAACTGTATTATTTTATTATTTAACTTAATCTTCTATGCATTTCTTGAGCATTTCCTGGCACATTGATGCTCCATAAATTCTAATTTCCCTTTTGGGATCCTCCATAAAGTCAGTGTGAGCTGCCCTTTTATTACATTTCCCATGCTCCCTCAATGAGTTGCAGCTTTAAGTCTTGGTCTTGCTGTACTACCCAGAAGAGTGGTTGCCTACCCAGATGAGGCTAATGGCAGAGAGAAAGCAAAAGAGGGAGGGTGGGAGCAAGAATACTGTAGAAATAGAATCCATGAGGATTGGCACTTAATTAGATGAAAAGGTATAAGGAAGAAGCAGAAACTAAAAAATGGCCTTGACACTTTTCACCTGGGTGACTTCATGATGGTGGTGACATTTCCCAAACAGGGAACAATGGGGAAAGATTTGATAGGGACCATGGAAGAAACTAAACTTTGTTTTACCATTTGAAATTGGAGATGTTGGTGGAGTAAACAAGATATCTAGCAGAAATCTGAAAATAAAAGCCAGATTTCAAAAAATGTGGGTGATATCAGTGTTGATGGAGACACTGTCCCCACGGAAGCTGATATGATTTGTGGGGGAGAACTTCACTTAAGCAAAAAAGAGGGCTGGTGGCTGGGGACACCTTTGAATATTTCCATCTTTCTTTCCTTTTTTTAAAAAAAAATTTCCATCTTTCTGTCCGGTGGGAGTCACAGTTTCAGCATGTCCCACGTGGGATTAATCATCTTCCCACAAAACCTATTTCTCTTGTCTTCTCTAGCTATGCAAATACCAGTCTCTTAGATACTCTCGCTCAAAAGCTCAGTCATCTATGTCTCCTCCCTTAATTCTTTTTATAGGCTTCCCAATAAAAAATTCTGAAAATCCATAAAAACAACAGATTATAGATATAGTTACTTATAACGAAAAGATTTTGGATGGTTTGTAGTGTATTCTGGTCATATTCCTATGCAAGTATAGATTTAATTTCCTTTATACATGATTAGAGTTATACTCTAACATTTTTAGAATACAGTTGTCCCTTGCCACTTTGCGCTTCAATATTCGCAGCTTCATTCTATTGTGTTTTTTTCTGTGTATAAATAAAGAATCCTGCTTCGCAGAAATTCATTTATCACAGTAGAGTCTGGAACATATTAACCGCGATAAATGAGGGCAGACTGTAACTGTTGTTTTGAAGTATAAGATTTATGCATAAATGTACACAATCAGAAATTAACAACTTTTCATGTCAGATATTCTCCCACAACAATCTTAAAAGGCTCAAAAGTATCTCATCCCATAGATGTACCATTATTTGGATAACCAACCACTGTTGTAGAGTTTCTGGCTTTTTTCTAGTCTTCTTATCTCTCCTTCCACAATGCTACAAAGATGAATTTACCTATATTTAACATTTTTGTGCCCATTTCCAATTTTTCCTTAGAATAAAAGGTCTAGAGACTGAATTTCTGGGTCAATAGGCATGTGCATTTTTAAAAATAAACTTTTAATCCTGGACGGTTGCTCAGTGGTTAGAGCATCGGCCCACAGACCAATGAGTGTCAGGTTTGATTCTAGTCAAGGGCATGTACTTCGGTTGCAGTTTGTTCCGGCATTGGTGAGGTCGTGCAGGAGGCAGCCAATTAATGTGTCTCTCTCATGTCGATGTTTCTCTCTCTCCCTCTCCCTCCCACTCTATCTGATGATAAATGGAAAAAATATCCTCAGGTGAGGATTAAAAAAAAAATTTTAATTTTTGAATTGTTTTAGGTTTGCAGAAAATTACAAAGGCCGCACAAACTGTTCCTATACACTGCATACTTAGTTTTCCCTATTATAAACATCTCTAGCTATGCAAATTAGTATAGAGCATTTGTCCTTGGGGGTGGGCCAATATTGAGATAATATTAACTAAAGCCAATACTTATCCAGATTTTTTTACTTTTTACATAATGTCCTTTTTATTGTTGTAGTATCCTATTGAGGATACCACATTCTATTAAGTTGTCATGTTGCCCTGGGCTCCTCTTGGTTGTGACAGTTTCTCAGATTGTCCTTGTCTTTGATGACCTTGGCAATTTTGAGGAATACTGTTCAGGCATTCTGTAGAATGTTCCTCAATTGGGGTTTGTCTGATTTTCTTTGATCAGACTGGGGTTATGGGTTTGGGCAGGAAAGAGATAAAATACCACTCTCATCATATCTAGTCCGCATACTGTCAACATGATTTATCACTGTTGATGTTAACCTTGATCACCTGGCTCAGGAAGTGTTTCTCTACTATAAAGTTACTCATTTTCCTCCTTATTGTACTCTTTGTAAGTCACTATGCACAGCCCACATTTAAGGACTTGGGAGTTACGCTTCAGGGTGGAGTATCTACAAAAATTATGTGGAATTCTTTTGCACTAGAGAGTTAATTGTTCTTTCCATTTATTAATGTACTATATCAGCATTCATATCGTTACTTTATATCAGTATGAACTCAGATATTTTTTATTCTTGAGTTATAATCCAGTAGCACTTTCCTTGTTTCTTTGCTCAAGCCATGTGTATTTTTCATACTGGAGTAACTCACCTCAAAGCTACCCTGCCAAAGGTTATACCAACCATAACGGTTAAAATGAGGATCCAGTTCCCCTCAACTTCACACTCCCTTTATAAAAGTAGGTCAGCAAGCAGGGACGCGGTCTCTGCCCGTCCCTAGCGCCCCATCTCCTTAAGAAGATGAAGCCAGCAGGTGGGCGCCCTTCCCCAGATGGCCACCTCGGCCTTACTTCCCCCCCCAACCGCAGCCCCTCCTCGCCCGCAGTCGGGCCTCCTGGTCTCTTCATGGCCCCGCCCCACTTGGGGCGGAAGTAGGTGCGGCCGTGGGCCGGAAGCGCTGGGCGGGGGCGGGCCCTCTCGCGCAGGCAGCTCCTCCCACTCTGCCACCGCAGTACCCCTCCGGCCCAGACCGGAAATGAGGTCACGGAGGGAAACCCCGGCGGGGAGTCTCGGCCCCCACAGCGGCGGCCGTTGGAGGTGCCTGCGGCAGCTGGTGAGGGGGAGATGCGGGTGGAGAGGGTCGGGGTCCAGAGGGCCGGCGCCGGCGGGGCTCCGGGCTCCGGGCCGCGGCTGAGCCGCCAGAGGCTTCGTGGGGCCGTGGCGGCCGGAAGGAGGGGCGATAGTGACGGGGCCTTGCTTTTCAGGGCCCATCGCCTCCGTCCCGGGGCTTGAGGGTCGGGCCGTCCCCCGGGCGACAGTCACCTCCCCTTCTTTCTGGCTCTCTTGGGCCGGCGATCCCGTGAGGGCTTGGTGTCCAGAGCCGTCGTCGCCCTGATCCTCGGGGGCGGGCCGGGGTTGGGGGAGAGCCTTCGAAACGCCTTTCCTCACGTATGTGGCCATGTTGCGACCCCCGATCACGGAGAGCGTAGTCGCCCGGACTTGCCTTTTCGCAGTTTCTCTCCTACAGGAGGCCGACCCCTTGTCCCTGGAGGGCACGAATGAGAGGTTGCCTCCTGCCTTTCCCGCCTCCTGCGCCCCCAGCCTGGTCTCCCCCTCGGACCCTGCGCCTGCCTCTCGTCTTTCTTCTGCCAGTTCCCTTACTCCCTTGCGTAAATCGGACCGCCTTTCCTCCCCCGAGTGCTTGCCGGACCCGAGGGGCCTCGTGGGCTGCAGGTGTGCAGTGCCCGGGTTCCCCTGGCACCTGCTTTTCCAACTGCAGCCTCGGAGGCAGGGCCGGGTTCTGCACCGGCGCCCGACTCCGAGTTGTTCGCTAACTTAGTTCCACGTTGAAGTGGGTACAGTTCTGCCTTAGTTTTCAAAACAGTAGCTTTTTATTGGGGAAGTAGATTTCGACAGGCTGTTACCACTTGTTTATCTGTTTTGGTCTTAGGAACAGTTGTCTCCCATACCCCAGTCAGGGCGTTTTAAACTACTTATTTTCTAAAGGGAAGTGGTCATTTTGTGTGTGTGGCTTTTGACACTTTGAGAAGCTTTCTTTGGCTGGTGGTTTGGGAACTAGAGGTCTCCATTGCTCCCACCCGTGTGGCAGGTAAGCCCGCCGACTGTTTTCCTGCCGTGGAGTTTGTTGGCATCGGGACAGTATGAAAATAGGTTTTAGAAAGGCCTTTGCAGAATGTAAACTGCATGAACGGAAATATGGTCTGAGAGTGGCGCCACACAGAGATTTAAGCTCTAATTATGGCCTTGAAATACTTTGGCCTTAACAAGAGCTAGGGAAAAAGTGGTGATTTAATTTGTATTTAATAGGTGTTATACAAATTATATTAGACATTTCTGTTTAAATCGCATTTTGAAAATTGCTCCTACTACTTTCATCTTTTGGAAGGTTTCCTCTAAAGTGACCCCTGAAGTATGATGGTTTGATGTGAATGAGTAGAAAAATAGAAAATTTTGGAAAGCAGTTAGCTAGAAATCTTGGGACTGCAGGCCGACGCTCTAACCGCTGCGCCAAACCGGCCAGGGCAGCTAGAAATCTTAAGAACTCTGCCCATCCCTGTCATTTCAGCCTCAGTTATATCTTGTTTTTGTGTTAGGATGATCACTTATTTTCTGAAGGATGGGAGAAGAGATTAAAAGTTGCTAATTATTAAAAAATTCATGATATACTCTTATAAAGTTCTTTACCTGGTAGCTTCCAGGTGGTAGTTGAGACCAGAATGGGTGTAAACTTAGTCTTTTTTCCATTCAGACTGTAAACCTGGGTCACTACAAATTCTTGGATCACTAAAACTGCAAGCAGTCTTCCTTCAAGTGAGTCACTAAGGTTGTCTTTCTGTTCCTTTGCACAAGCATTCTTATCAGTGACCTCAGACCATAAAACAGCCCTTCATCTATGGTTTTGAAGTTGTATGTTTTTCTGCCCCTGTCTGGTGAGACATTCTCTTATCTTTTTGGATCTCATCATCAGGTAATTTAGTGACAAGTTTAATTGGGGGAAAAAGGGAAAAGATTTATTCCCCTGAGTTTGCTTGGTTTTGCTAATATACCTGTTGTCATCTGGTGAGTGAGTTTTTGTGCTTAAAAACATGTTGACTTCAGGCTTTTAACAAGGGCCAAACACCTATTTTCAGTGGCCAAAGTGAGCATGGATGGTAAAGTGTAGACAGATGAAAGGTGATTATTTTCTCTAGATAGGGTGGACTCTGCAGTGCTGTGATCTATTTTGTAAAATTATTCCAAAACAACAGATTCCATTCAGGCTCTCTTTTTCTTCCTTCTTTATTTTTTTGAACTTCCTTTTGGCAGATGTGGCCTCATGGATGAGCTGGTACATGACTTAGCCTCAGCCTTGGAGCAGACATCTGAACAGAATAAGCTTGGTGAGCTGTGGGAAGAGATGGCTTTGAGTCCGCGGCAGCAGAGGCGGCAGCTTAGAAAACGGAGAGGCCGGAAGCGCCGTTCAGACTTCACTCACCTGGCAGAGCATACCTGCTGCTACAGTGAGGCCTCTGAGTCCAGTCTGGATGAGACCATTAAGGACTGTCGAGAAATGGTCCCTGTCACCAATTTCAGTGACTCTGATGACACAGTGGTAGCCAAACGGCACCCAGCTCTCAACACCATTGTTAGGAGTAAGCAACATTCTTGGCATGAATCTGACTCCTTTACTGAAAATGCACCTTGTCGACCACTCAGGCGCAGGCGGAAGGTGAAGCGAGTGACATCAGAGGTGGCTGCCAGCCTTCAGCAGAAGCTCAAGGTGTCAGATTGGAGCTATGAGAGAGGGTGTAGGTTCAAGTCTGCTAAGAAGCAGCGTCTGTCACGCTGGAAGGAGAATACTCCCTGGACCTCGTCAGGCCATGGATTGTGTGAATCAGCAGAAAATAGGACTTTTCTAAGCAAAACAGGAAGGAAAGAAAGGATGGAGTGTGAAGCAGATGAACAAAAACAGGGCTCTGATGAGAACATGTCAGAATGGTGAGATCTCTCTTACTTAGTCAAAGATTTTCCTGATTAATTTGACCCAAAGTACAAATCCACAGTCTTGATCAATTTAACTCTCTTTCAAACCAGCCACTGTAATATTGACTTTATAGCTCTCCTTTAACCAATCAGTTAGTGTTTATGTCTAGTTTTATTTATTAATTATTGATTTTAGAGGGAGGAATGGGGGCAGAGAGAAACATTGATGTGAGAGAGAAACATCTTTTGGTTGCCTCCTGCATGAATCTGCAACCTGGGTATGTGCCCTGACTGGGAATCAAACCTACCACCTTCTGGTGCACGGGACAATGATGCTCCAGCCAACTGAGCCACACTGGCCAGGGCTATCTCTGGTTTTTTAAAGAACACTCATGATTCTATTTACCTATGTCAAGAAGGCTATAATATAATAGAAATACATTTCTTTCTAAGAATTGTTTAAAATGTGTGCCTCAAATGCATAACCAGAATTTGATTTTAAAAACAGTTTGCTACCCTGGATGGTGTGGATTAGTGGTTAGAGTATTGGCCTGAGCACCAAAGGGTCTCGGGTTCGATTTCTGGTCAAGGGCAAGTACCTTGGTTGCAGGTTTGATCCCCAGCCCATCAGGGCATGTGTGGGAGGCAACCAGTCAGTGTGTCTGTCTTACATAGATGTTTCTCTCTCTCCACCTCCCCCAGTCCCACCCCCACCTTCTACTTTCTCTAAAAATTGATGGAAAAAGTGTCCTCAGGTGAGGATTAACAACAACAACAAAATAATAAAAAATTTGCTGCTGTTTATGCCATGTAGTTCATACAAAGGTATTGTTCTTTAGAACCAGAGTCTCAGCCGAGGCTGGGTGTGTGTGTGTTATAAATGCTGGTGCCAGACACGTGGAGTTTGTAAATATTCCTGGTACTGTCTTTACTGATTGAGAATCATGGCTTTAGATACTTCTGGGCTGTAAGTCTGTTCTCTGCTGCTTACAGTTTGACTGTATTGAGTTTATTTTTTATGGCTCACATTCAGGTTTTCTGAACACATGGTAGGCTTTGAAAATAACAGTACTGAGTCCCATTAGTCTTGTGTCAAATGTCATTGAGCCAGAAAAATGTGTATGTAGCCCGGCTGGTGTGGTTCAATGGATTGAGCATTGCCCTATGGACTGAGAGGTTCCGGTTCAATTCCTAGTCAGGGAGAACACATGCCTGGGCTCTGGGCTTGATCCCCAGTAGGGGACATGCAGGAGGCAGAGGATGGATGTTTCTTTTTCACATCAATGTTTCTATCTCTCCCTTCCTCTCTCTAAAAAAACAATAAAAAATTAAAAAAAAATGTATGTAATGGGTGCATGTTTATAATGTCAGTGTAGTTTTTATTTTTTACATCTCAGATAGACAGTCCTAGGAACACTGAAACTCCCCAGCATGATACTTTATTAACAGTAATAATGTGTGATATCTGTTTCTCAGTGGAGATGCCAGTGGTGATTTGGATGGGCAGTGGGCAGTTCTTTGCATTGAGGGACTGTCCCATGCCTTGTAGGATATTTGGCATTTTTGCTTTGTCTCCCACCCTCTCATAGTATCAAACCAAATGACTCCATGGGTGTTCCCTAGAAGGGTTGAATAGTCTCAACTGAGAACCATTGTAGTCTATTATTGATAATATTAGTTAGCATTTATGAAGCACTAACTGTGTGCCAGGCACTGTACTATTGTACATAACATATATTCTTATTTAATGTTCACATCTCCACTGTATAGTAGGTTCCACTATTTGTATTTTATAGAAGAGGAAATGGAGGTTAAGTGTGATTAGATAATTTACCCAAGGTGGCAAAACTGGAAATCAAACCTGATTCCTAAGCTCATACTTAACTGCCATGTTGCCTATCCTTTGACTTTGCCTTTTCCTTGGCTCTTGTCCTCTCATCTTAATTTTTTAAAATTTTTTATTTATTTTTGTCCTCTGCCCTTGCCCGCACTCCCTCCCAGCCTCTGGCCCGCTCTGCCTCATCTTAACTTATACAACCTTAGAATGTGTAACCTTTTTAATAAAAAAGTTTCTTTATTGATTTTAGAGAGAGAGGACAGGAGAGGGAGAGAGAGAGAAACATTGATGAGAGAGAACATTGATTGGCTGCCTCCTGCATGCCCCCCACTGGGGATTTGGCCCACAGCCTGGGCATGAGCCCGGACCGGGAATTGAACCAGTGACCTCTTGGTGCATAGGTCGATGCTCAGCCACTGAGTCACACTGGCTGGGCTGTATGACCTTTTTTTTAGGACTTTGCTTCTTTTGAAATTTGTCTGAAAAACAAAGACATGAATCTTGGGAACCCTGGGGTGAGGCTGTGTTAGTAACAGGAAAAACTTTGTAGGTCTGTATGCCTGTACCTTTCCTGGGTGGGTTTTTAGTCCAGATGCACTACTAGGTAGGCTTATACTTTGGCTTTTTAATTTTCCTCTAATGTATATTCCAAGGCCTACTTACCCAATTTATATGTAAATTTTGGATTATAAAGATATTTTCCCTCATGCTATTTAAAAAGATATATTTTTATTGATTTTTTTTTTTTAGAGATAGGAAGGGAGAGAGAAAGAGAAACATTGATGTAAGAGTGTAACTTTGATCAGCTGCCTCCTGCATGCTCCCTACCTGAGTTCGAAACTCAGGCTTGTACCCTGACCAGGAATCTGACCAGTAACCCCCTGGTGCACTGCCCAACCAACAGGACAATGCTATTTTTAATTAAACAAATAATATTGAGTCAACTTGTAGCCTTTCACAATGTTGAAACCCTCAATTGAGGCATTCAAATTTGTTTCAATATTGACCATAGTACCAAATAGTAATCTTACTGTTGAGAATGGCGATTTTAAAAATAGTTTTTGGGGATGATAGCTTGTGTATATTTCTTCCCCAGAATTTCTTGTTAAACTATGACTTAATTTTGTGTGAGAGGGAGACTGTCAATTCTGTCTACTCTAAGATAACAGCTCACACATATGGTTCCAAATGTGAGGCACTTTCGTCTTTCTGGTTCCTTCTTACCCCGTCTATTGCACATTACTGTCAGGTGGTGAGAATATACATTCTAGTTATCTGAGAGCCTGGATGAATTGAAATAGGCAGCAATTCTTAAGGAATTTTTTACTCTTTTTAAATTGAGACCGTATTTCCCTCTGGGCTATTTCCCTGGTCCATGACTTCAGAGTTTTTTTCAATAATGTGGATACTAAAGTCCTAGCAGCTGGCTATGAGGAAATAATGGGTGGATTAGTAGCAGAAATAGAAAAAGAAAAATTCTTTAAATCTGATTATTTAGGAGTTTTAACATTGCCTTGATTATGTTGATTCATTTGTAGTTATAATTAGAAGTGCTTTATGTTCCCCCTCCCACCCACCCCCACCCCAAATTTACTCTGTGGGGAAAGAGGTGTAATTCTTACTTATTTTTTGACTTCATATTATGTTCAGCCTCTCAACTGTAAAGTGGAACTAAAAATCTGTTCTCAATTATTAAGCACACCTTATAAACAGTAGCATTAGAGTGTGTTTAAATAGATAATGGTATATAATTTGGATATTATAACATCTTGGTGAGTTGATTCTATAAAATTTTTCTTAGTTTTTCTGTTTTAAAAGAAATACAAGAATCCTCTTGGTTACTCTTTTCAAAAATCTGCTTAGGTGTGCCAGTTTATTCACACATAGAAGTATAGAGCTCTCCTTTTTATCAGTGGTATTGAGGATTGTCAGAATATATATGATCCAACTTGTAAAATTATTAGAATTAATTGATCATTTGGTTAGCCTAGTCAGTGGATAGAGTTCTTTTCAAAAGCGTGTGCTAGGTGCTTTAGGTTTGAAAATGTATGTCTCAATCAGAGAGTTTTATTTCTAATTTCCTTAAATTCACTCTGCTAACTAAACAGGGAGCCTTTTTAAATGTAACCAAGAATTCTTTTTGATGATTCTCTTTCCGTTCTTCAGTTCTATACCAGCCAGTCTCTTGAGTTTTGAGGAAATAAAAGTGGTTATTGAGGAAATAAAAGTGGTTATGATGTAATAGTTTTCTTATACTTGCAAAAAGATCAATTATTTTAATTTTTTCAGTGCATGTGTATTCCATTCTAAATGGAGCAACTCTTTTGTAAAGTTAATTTCTACTGATTTTTATTCAAATTGCCTATATAACAGTTATTAATTAGGTAATTCATAGCCTCATTTTGCTGTATTCTCCACTAACACATTATTTGTTTAATCTCTTTGAATATAGTTTAGCTTCTTTTCTTTCATATGTGAATTGGATTAGTGATGGCCTGAGGTTGTAGTCAGGAGTCTTCCTATGGTGATGTATTGGAGGCTGATCTTACAGGAAAGAAAATATTCCTTTCTCTTGGAAGGCAAGTGACAGAGATAGAGTGCTAAACCTTCCCCCTCCTTCTCCAGCGCCAGCTGACCTTCTGCAGCCCCTTGGTGCCTCTTGTTTTCTTATTTTTATAGAAAATCAATATCCCTTCTGACACAAACAATAGCTCAGAAGCAAGAATAAATGGCAGAAAGCTGAGATCTCTGTCTATCACCTCTCACTTTAACTCCTCCAAACTCTTTAATTATGAGCGGGCTTTGCTCCAGGTGTTTGCGACAGTGAAATTGCTAAATGAGGACCATTTTAACCAAAGATTGGGTGATCAATAACACTCTATAGCAGTAGCTTGTTGGATCAATAGCATTCATTATTTCATGGTTAAGGTAAGTAGCCTCCTTTGCAAGTGGAGGTCATTAATCAGAGGTTACTGGAGCTGTGCAAAAGAATATATGTGGTAGGTTGAAGATGTTCTGTTTTCTGTTGTATAAATAGGGATGCTGACCAACAGTATATTTACCATTGTTGCAAATGATACTCTTGCATTTGAGAGTATTGAATGGCTAACATAGTGTTTTTATATAGATTTAGTCAAAGTTCTGCTAGTACATCCTTAGGAACACCTGAAAAAGACAA